GCAAGGCAGACACAAGGTGCACCAGCACCTCTTCGGCCAATTTAGCGCTTTGTATAGTCATAATAAATATTTCGGAGCTAAAGAAGGCCTGTACACGCAAACGAAAATCAGCTTCTTCAATGCATCCTTAACCAGATTATGAATAAGTAGTAACATTGCCATGCCATGACGTATCGAATGAGATTCTGTAAAACAGATTGTGTTCATGCCAATTCGTCACTAGTACAGCACACCAGTGTAATCCCCCCCCACTTTGCACAAGAGCGCAGAAGCGTGGTCACCACATCTACGCCTCTATATAAGGAACGAAACATTTAGACTTCTCTACAAATCTGGCTGTCGCCTGACGAAGCTAGTTGTAATTACTGGCGAAACGTCGTACTCAAATTGTAAATGTTGTGGCTTGGCTCTTCAACACACCGGTGTGCTGTACTAGTGACGAATTGGCCACGTTCTGTTTACGTGACAACCCTTACTAGTTGGCTGTGTCGGGTGGTGGCGGGTTTTAACGACACATTTATATATTTACACGATCTAACCCAAAAAAAACCCTCTATTATGGACAAATTGTGTTTCTCTGTACAAGCAGTTACCCCGTGCGTGCCGTCTTCCTCAGGTGTTCAATAATAATCAGCATTTATTGTCCTCTTGTTGGTCCGGGTTGCGTATATTCAGTATGTCTTGTGTGAATGACGTGTGTTAATCATGCGTAGACAGTCTCCCTGACGCCAACACGCGGCGTTTATACATTATGCATGTGAAGCACATGCTCTAAGTGGTGTTTCTGCACCGCAATCTCACCCAGCGCCACCTCTGTCCAGTGCTATATTTATGTCACATACGTGTTGCGTGAATCTTACGCGTGCGTGTGTATACAAAGTACTGTATTAACAGCCGAGTGCCCACTCCCTGTCCCTGATTTGCTGCAGTGTAAATATTGAACAACTAGCCTTTTGCCCGTCCAAGGACGGGTGTATTGCAGTAAATCTGAAACTTGCAAGCGAAAAGCAGAGTGCGACGTGATATATTCATTGCATCAATGCGTGCGCAATTTGTAAGGGCGCGGTGACACAGACTTATTTCATTGTAAAGTTATAATCCCTTGTTCATCACGACGTCCTTTTTACTTCGATGTCTCAACAGCGTGACGGAGATCACGTGACGTGAGGGTTCTGCCTGTGACGTGAGGGTTGTCAGTTGACGCCGAGGAGGGGGGAGGAGGCGCCTCCCCCCCCATGTGGAGTGACGTCACCCGCTAATTATTATGAATGGAGGGGAGGGGGTGTCCATTTGGAGAACGTCACCTGTTCATGATAATTAATGAGGGGGGCTGTTCGATGTGGAATTACGTCACCTACTCATGATTATTAATGAGGGGGGTGGGGTTCATGTGGAGGATGTAACCTGTTCATGATTATTAATGAGGGGGGCTGGTCGACGTGGAGTGACGTCACGAGCAATGCACATAGGAATTTATGGCTCATTATAGTAGGTAATAATGGGGGGGGGGGGGGTCCATTTGGAGGACGTCACCTGCTCATGAATATTAATGAGGGGGGCGGTTCGATGTGGAGTGACGTCACGAGCGTTAAGGACAGACATTCCTGGGTCATTATAGTAGGTATAGTGCTACGCATCTTACATTCGTCTATGACTCGGAATGTGCCCGATCTCCTTGAATCTCGGAAGCTAAGTCGGGTCGAGCCTGGATAGTGATTTGATGAGTGATCATCGTTCATAAACGTGTTAACGGCTGCTGTGCAACTAAGCGGTCAGCAGAGGCCAGTGCGGCAAAATGTATAGTTGTACAGTACTATGCTCACATCCTGCTCGACTTCACAAACACACACACACACTGACCAGCGTGGTGAAGTATGGTCAAATAACCCCCACGACCCACACGGTGTAGGGAAGTCCTCATTCAGCAGTGAATTGGCAACGGGACTGCGCACATGCGTATTATGCCATACGCAGTATATTGCATGCGTTTGTAAAGCGTATATGATCTCGATTTAACGCGCCCTATGGCGTTTTATGAAGGATTTAATGTATGTGTTATAATTTTAATGCGATCACACCACTGCTGTGCTGCAGCGAGTGCGGGGTGCTTTATGATTCTCCTGCAAGTGAGTTTCTGCTAATATCTGAGCATCGAGACGGGTGCTCTCATCTCCAGTTCTCAAGTTTAAAGTCCTGAGCTAGTCGTGGGAATTGCACGTTGCTGTGGCGGGGGGGCGGATTTTCTCCATTGGGAAACCACTGTCGACTTCCCCACAATGTGGTATACACGTATACCAGTGCACAACGTGATGCACTATCTATATACACACAGGACAGTAGTACTCCTATGATCACGTTTGGCTACTAACGGTGCGAAAGAGGTTCAACATACTTACAGTAGTAATGTACCGTAACCGCTGTTGGCCTTAATGTTCAGTATACGCTGCACCGTGCATGGCAGTGTTACAGGCGGTATATAACCTAAACTATATATTTTTTTTCACCAGGTAAGGCCCAATGAGCGTTCTAGCTCATTTTCAGAATCGACCTGGCCATAAATGGTTAAGGTCAACGAAGTGACTTATCACGTGCAAATGTATAGCAGCCAAATAACTCTAAATGCATGTTCCTTAACTGGGGAGGGAAAACCCGGAGGACCCGGAGAAAAATCCTCGCGACCACAGGGAGAGAGACGTGCAAACTCCAAATAAACGGGTGTCGGGATCGAACCCACGGCCTCCTGCATACCAGGCGAGGTAGTTAACATCTCGCCACCGTGGCACCATATAATGCTGTAGTGTCAAATAATTCAGCAGCTGCAGCATCCAGATAATCAGCAGCTGCAGCATCCAGAAATCCACTGCTGGATGAAGGTCTCCCCCACATCTGCATCCACCCCTGCCCCATACGACCTTGCGATGCAGCAAAAAATCCATGCAGCACCTGTACAGTGCAACTGACTGTGCGGTCACCAGAACCTTTATTGAGACTGCAGGAGAAATCCGATGAGCTGTGAAGCTTTTCTTTTCACAGACGTCCAGTATGGGGTGTGTCAGCAAGTTACAACAGCAAACGATAGAACAAAAAAAACTGATAGGAGTGCAACGTAAAATAAAACGGTAAGAAAGTCACTAAATACGAAGAGGTAATACATGCATTCATTATATACGTCAAAGTTATCCAGATTTGGCAAGGCAGAAGCAGAAAAAAACCAACAACAGTTCGAGCAGATCACGCCAAGATAACAGGCAGTAAGTGCAGGGTTTTTCCCTCGTGTTCTAGAGGGGGGGGGGCACCACTTTGGCCGATAAGACATCGCCAGCTGTGTGAGGCACCGACACACATTTGAACCCATTGGGGGTTTGACAGCAGCAGCACGATATAACTTGACTCTCCAACACACCGGTTAGTGCTGTACTAGTGACGAATTGGCATGTTCCGTTTACGTGCCAACCCTTACTAGTTGGCTGTGTCGGGTGGTGGCGGGTTTTTACGACACAACATTTATATATTTACGCGCTCTAACCCCCCCCCCCCCCCCCCAAAAAAAAACCCTCTATTATGGACGATGATCATGATGATGATGGAGGGGGGGAATGGGGTGGGGGCGTTGTTTTCGAGTTATTTCGTGTATCGCCAGGGGCTGCACTAAAGGGCAACAGAGGGGCTGCACTAAAGGCCACCAGGGGTCGCACCAAAGGCCACCAGGGGTCACACCAAAGGCCACCAGGAGTCACACTAAAGGCCACCAGGGGTCACACCAAAGGCCACCAAGGGTCACACTAAAGGCCACCAGGGGCCGCACCAAAGGCCACCAGGGGTCACACTAAAGGCCACCAGGGGCCGCACCAAAGGCCACAAGGGGCCGCACCAAAGGCCAACAGGGGTCTCACTAAAGGCCACCAGGGGTCACACTAAAGGCCACAAGGGGTCACACTAAAGGCCACAAGGGGTCTCACTAAAGGCCACCAGGGGTCACACTAAAGGCCACAAGGGGTCACACTAAAGGCCACCAGGGGTCACACTAAAGGCCACCAGGGGTCGCACCAAAGGCCACCAGGGGTCACACTAAAGGCCACCAGGGGTCACACTAAAGGCCACCAGGGGCCGCACCAAAGGCCACCAGGGGTCACACTAAAGGCCACAAGGGGCTGCACCAAAGGCCACCAGGGGTCACACTAAAGGCCACCAGGGGTCACACTAAAGGCCACCAGGGGTCACACTAAAGGCCACAAGGGGTCACACTAAAGGCCACCAGGGGCCGCACCAAAGGCCACCAGGGGTCACACTAAAGGCCACCAGGGGCCGCACCAAAGGCCACCAGGGGTCACACTAAAGGCCACCAGGGGTCACACTAAAGGCCACACTAAAGGCCACCAGGGGTCACACTAAAGGCCACCAGGGGCCGCACCAAAGGCCACCAGGGGTCACACTAAAGGCCACCAGGGGCCGCACCAAAGGCCACAAGGGGCCGCACCAAAGGCCACCAGGGGTCACACTAAAGGCCACCAGGGGTCACACCAAAGGCCACAAGGGGTCGCACCAAAGGCCACCAGGGGTCGCACCAAAGGCCACCAGGGGTCACACTAAAGGCCACCAGCGGCCGCACTAAAGGTCACCAGGGGTCACACTAAAGGCCACCAGGGGTCACACTAAAGGTCACCAGGGGTCACACTGTGGCCCGCGGTGGCCTTCCAATTAAGAACACCGCCAGTAGCCCCCCCCCAACCCCTTCAACACAACGGCACATTCACATCGAAATATCGATAACACAGGTGATGACCATGATCAAGAGTCACCCGCTCTGGCGGTCGCTTCGTCTGGGTTGTCCGTCGGAGCACCCAACGGATGTCAGCGTGGCATCGGGTCAGCTGTCTATTTATTCCTGGACGAGTCCGAGGTTCTGCGTTTCTCCCCACCACCACTTGCCGCCACAGACGTCCAAGTCGAGTCCGAAATCTACCCCGCGCGAGCGCAGCGCCCAAGACGCACGCACTCACCGCTGCCCGCCTCGCGGTCTCTGATGTGCTGCAGCGAGGCCGCGCCGCCGCCGCCGCCGCTGTCTTCGCTCCGCGTCTCGGCGTCGAAGATGCGAACGCGGTCCAAGCTGCGCGCACCGGGGCCCTCGCGAGGGCTCTCGGGCACGCAGCACGACGCCACGTTCCCCATGCCTACGCCATGCGTCTTGCTCCCACGCTCTGTGGCGGTAGCGGCTTGTTGTTGTTGTTTGTTTGTTTTGGCTGGCTGGCTGCTGCTGCTGCTGTTGTTGTTGTCGATATCTCTCGGCGGTGCTTGTTGACCCGCCCGCTTGCTGCGAGAGCCGGGCCCCGATTCACGCTTTACACCTGCGCGCGCATTGGCTCGGCGCATGTCACGTGGCGGCGACGGAGACACTCCCCTTCATCTCCAGCCCATACAGGCACTCCTCTACTTGCGAACGTTCGACTTACGAACATTCAGAGATACGAACAAACCTGTCCCTATGTCCAGTTGCCCGTTCGGTCTGAGAGTCGTAAGTTCAACCGCCGCGCAATAGATGGCGGTGGTGGCATCTACATCTGCTGAACATGAAGAACCAGTGGCATCTACATTTGCAGAACGTGAAGAACCAGGGGCATCTACATCTGCAGAACTTGAAGAACCAGTGGCATCTACATCTGCAGAACATTAAGAACCAGTGGCATCTACATCTGCAGAACGTGAAGAACCAGTGGCATCTACATTTGCAGAACGTGAAGAACCAGTGGCATCTACATTTGCAGAACGTGAAGAACCAGGGGCATCTACATCTGCAGAACTTGAATAATCAGTGGCATCTACATCTACAGAACATTATGAACCAGTGGAATCTACATCTACAGAACATGAAGAACCAGTGGCATCTATATCTACAGGAGATTACACACCTTTTGAAGCCATTCCCCATGTTTAGTGTACATGCCGTACGTGTTTGGAATCGACAGGAGTAAAGTTGGACTTACAAACAAATCGACTTACGAACAGACCTCTTGAACCTAACATTTTCGTAAGTAAAAGAGTCCCTATAGATCAAAACGTGGCCCGTCAATCAGAATCTTTATTTAGACTGGAGGAGGAATCCGATGAGCTGTGAAGCTCTTTTTTGTCACGGATGTGTAGTAAGGGGTGGGTCAGAAAGTTACACCAACAGACAATGCAAAAAAACACGATAGGAGTGCAAATTATAGGAAAGGTAAGCTAATCACAAAAAAATAAAAAAAAATTCCCCCAGGTAATGCCCACTGAGCTATGAGCTTCTTTTTGAAGAAACGACCTGGCCACAAATGATAGCCCAACGAAGTGGCTTATCATGTGGACATTTATGGCAGCCACATACTCTTAAACGCATGCTGATTCTAAATGTGGAGGAGAAAACCCAGAGGACCCGGAGAAAAATCCATGCGGCCACGGGGAGAATATGCAATCTCCAAATATACAGCAGGCGTCAGGGTCTGGATCGCACCCACGACCTCCTGTGTACCAGGCGAGGTAGTTAACATCTTGCCACCGCGGTGCCGCCCCCATCTCTCCCACGACCAGCACACCCTCTCCTCCCTAACTCTTCATCGTGGACACTGTGGCTTGTAACACACGCAAGGTTGAGCCAATGTTGGCATGTGGTTGGACCCGTTGGACCAACGTTGGCATAACGTTCCACCTTTTGTTCGTGTTTTAAGGCGTTTTGAGATGCAGCGGCATGTATGGACGTAATATATGCAATTCCTGATCAACGTGCAAATTAAAGCTAAAAGTGCACACGTTTAATTGTCAGGGGAGTACTGTATAGCGGAATTTCAACAACACAAAGTAAAAGGCCCACCATATAGCAGACACTGGCTGTTGGAGCAAGCGCTCTTAGCAAGCACTTATGAAGGCCACCTTGACACACAAGGGGGTCAGTCGTGTGGTCAGAACCACGCCCAGCCACCTTTGTCTCCCAAGTCCCGATGTTTCAGCACCGCACCAGGTCGCGATTCAAGGCTATGTCGACCCGTAGGAGACCCTGGATCAGTGCAATTATTCGTTACTGATGTTAGCCGTAAGTGGGAATCGCCACTGATCGCCACTGCACTGCCGCTCCCCAATGCAACAACAAAGACAAAAAAGACACATCCACACACATTGTTGGAAAATTCCAAATGTAACTCGTCCACTTCTCCCTGGCAAGTCATAATTATAATTACGGCAAGCAGAGTTGACAGCGACGCTGAGTGTTAGGAGATACATTTTAACAAATTTTATCTGCTAACTCACTGGATGTTGAACTGGGTGGGTGGGGTACTTCAAGATAACGCGCCACAATCGGCCTCTCCCCTCCAGGCAAGGCAGCATTCTGATCGCCCATGCCAACGCATGAACCGCATCTCCACACTCGCTCACAGCGTCCACGCAATGCACGCACGCTTGCCTCTGCGTCCAAATGCATGTCCACGCACGAGACCGAGGAACCGTGCAAGCGCAGTCGCGTATCAGGAATAGCGTTTACAGGGAAGCAACAGATAAGCTGAATAAACCTGACACTGTACGTGCAGGCAAATTAGGTTACGTGAAGGCTGCTGCTGCCGAAAGATAAAAAAAGAGAAACGTTTAAATTCATATTATTTGAGTCTTTCGGTAAAGCCACGTAGATGGTTCAAAGAAAATAACAAAAAACTACGTTTCGAACACAAGCGATCGTCATCACAACACAAGCGATCGTCAAGTGTTTTACTTTTAATTACACAAAAAAATACGTGCTTACTTGCATATGTTCTCTCAATGTATTTCCAAGCATGCATCTCCCCATGCTTCGTTGCATGTTTCTGTTCCATTTAATTTATGAATGTCACCATTTCTGATCTGTCATTGCAGTTGCTATGTACCGATTAACATTTTTCTGGTTATGACTAAAGTGAGAACCAGTGTGTATTGCAGGATATACATTTTTTCCACTTCGTTTTACATTTTGTATTACCGGGGGCTCTCTTGCAGTAGAAATAATCACAATGTGCTCTTCCATGGAAAAATACAGAATACTCGAAAAGGTAAAAGTGCAGCCCTTCAATTGTTTGTTCTTGCCACTGCTGATGTAAGAACCTCCAAGAGAAGGAGCTCTAGGGAGTCACGAGTTGAGCGTTTCTCAAACTGTATTGGCCTGCAAACCACTCAGCCGATGCAAACACTTGCGCGGACTACCCAGCCCCCCACCCCTTGTGACAAAACGCAAACAATTCTCACTAAATTCCACTCATACATGATTCATTTAACCAGAACACACAAAATAATTTACACAGCTATACGTTTGTTTGTTTTTTTAAGATGGGACATTTAGATCTTAGGGTTAGGATGGTTTAAGCAGGGTTATTTACCTAATTTATTTTAATTGAACATAGTGAGTAAAATATAAATTAACGTCCGAAACAAACAAAAAACCTTGTAATTATTTCCGAATCAACCTGCATTTGCATAACCTGGAGGACCACCTGGAGGACCGTCGCGGTGGTCTGGGGACCACACTGAGAACCACTGCTCTATAGAGATATTCTCATCTACTCTTCAACACTGGCCAGATGTTTTTAGGAGAGGTGAAGAATATCCAGACTGTACTCGATCAAACATGACCTGCGGATTGTTAACTCAGAGGTGGTAGGATGAAAACTAAAATGTGGCCATTATTTCAACTGCCACGCCAGGAGATCGAACTGGCGTCATCTAGATGTGGTAGGATTAAAACTAAAATGTGGCCATTATTTCAACTGCCACGCCAGGAGATCGAACTGGCGTCATATAAATTCTAAGTAAAGTGTGCTCATCGTTACACCATAACAGCGTTCATTTGGCAAAGAATACTGATCAGTTATGAATTAAGTAGAACAAAATGCGCACCAACCACTGCCCCAGACCTTCAGGGCATGCTACCACCCTCATATGAAAGACGCCGTGCCACCCGATTATGAACAACCCCTGCCAAGCCACCAGGCCCTTGCCCCCACCACCCAGTTACCAGAACATGCTCCCTGGATAGAAGCTCCCTTCTTCTTCACTCTGCTGTCCGGATTTGGAACTGCCTGTCTTAACAGATTGTCGGCGAATTCACCGATACTGGTCTTTAAACCTTCAAATGCTGAGCACACACATGGACATTTCCGAGCTTCACCACACGCCTTGTATGACCGATTCTTTGAGCTGCAGTGAACCAATGATTATGCCGATTAGATGTAATCATGTCTGATATGGCAGTTGTTCACAATTGCATCCAATATATATAAAAAAAGGAGACCAACGGATTATTTTACTTTGGTATTCTCAACGTGTGTAATTGAACACAATTACGGCAGTCACAAATTTGTAGATGCTTAACACGGCGTGAAATATAAATGGAATCACAAAGCACAGCAGCAATTACAACGGACTGATGTAACACAATAATAAAAAAACTATGAAAGGAAAACATTAACAAGGCTAACATTGAAACCCTATTTGCTTAAAAAAATACGTTTAACTTCCTGAGTAGTTGAAGACGCTTCTCTCTTCCTTATAAATCTGCACACAATTTAATTTGGAAAACGTCTTGGCTGTGTATGTTTACGCAAAAGGAAATGCAAAACACATTTCTCATTTGTAAAAATAGATTTTTTCAAGCCTATATTTCCTCTTAAACACCAAATCAAAGTGTTCATTAATGCGATTAGAAAAGCACTGTTTAGTATGTATGAATGTTCATGGACGAAATATGTCCAAACGTGAAAACATCGAAATAAATTTCTGTACTATGCTTAGTTAGGGTCTCTAATAAACCACTGGTGTGTTGTGTTTACTAGCACCACCATACGCAAAGATATTATGCGATCAGACAATGTTAGCTCATGTAACTTAAGGTCAATTAAGACAGTTCTGCATATGTATATTCCTCGTAAAAATAAATGTGGAACATTCACTGTGCACTAAGTTCTAGGATAAACATTTTTTGAGATAATTGGTGGTGTTGACAGTTTCAGTGCTATTCATCTACACAATGAGAACTAAACACAAACTTCTACTCGACCTGTGTGCACGCATAGTAACATTTACAACCAGTACCAAACGTCTCCAGAGTAATAACACACCGCGTGGAAATGCTGGCTTTTCACAGAAACGTCACCAGTATCACAATTAAACAATTCTGTTCACAATGTCCTCCGAAATAAAAAATATATTTATTATTCTGATTGTTTAACTTTAAAACGTGTACAGATTAATGAAATGAGAGCTAGGCAAATTATTTCCATGGATTATTATTAGAGTACTCAGCTACCGTGTACTGTATTTAATGCAGGTATGCACAGTTGGCAAATATTCTTGATATACTATATCGGGTAGGTTGAGGCAAAAGGTCTACAAGGGGTAATGCCTTTTTTTTGCCCTGGTGCAAACATAAATGTCATCAGCCGTAATTAGTTTGAGGTGCAGATTTGCACCTTCTTCACGCGGCACCTGCCGATCGTGTTTGCAGTTCAACACCCCATATGTTAGCACCAGGACGAATAGGCCTTTCACCCATGTAAGCCTCTTACCCTGCCTGACGATACACTACACAATATTAACGAGACTTGTAACTATGAGGGTTATAAGAAATTCACGTCAAATTCGAATGTTTATTTAAACAATGTGTGAATTATATATATATTTGGCCAAATTGTGCAAACTTGCTCATTGACTTCCCTCCCCCGCCCCATCAAATGAAGGGCAGTGACTTCCAAAGATGTCACAATCGACTCTGCACTTTTTGAGACATTTGTAGTTGATAAATTTGGACTGCATGCTGGCACAGTGATGTCAAAATGTACAGAGTAACAATGCGTGAGCCTAGCGAGTGAGTTAATCCAATATCAGCAGACAATTGAGTAACCTGAGTTATTGTCCCAGCTCTTTATAAATGTGTAAAAGCCATGAATGTTATTAGGTTTTAATAAAAAAAAAATATTCATACTGTTTAACAAGTTATAACTGGGACAGACACTTTAAATGTGTGAATGTGAACAGATTGCTTAATAGTCAAAATATAAATGGTATTTGAAATGTGGGGAAATGCCGAGACATCCCTTTTATAAATCATAAAACTACGACAAGAGGAAGTTTGTGATTGATTTCCTAACACCTATGCTGACAGAAGAAGCATAATATTGAATGACGCCACAAAAACAGACATCTTTTGCTGCTATGTTAGATTTAACAATCAGTATAAATGTAAGAAAAATGTAAATAAAAAATACGGTAACAATTCTTTAATAAATATAAACTCTCTTGGCATAAACAGGTTCTTTAAAAACATTTAACTCTTTAAACAGTTTACTGTGTGAATGTGTACCCTTTAAGTAAGGTTACGTGAGGCACACTACCTCACTTTAACATTGTCGTAGCTGTCTCTTACTTTGACAATCAATATATTTCAAATAAATATCAATACAAAATACTTGACTGATGGTTTTACTATAATTGTCAGCCTACCAATGTGAAGGATTGTCAATTAATAGTTGTGTGGGTTATAGTGCGGCGGTAATAATAATCATAATTTAATTTGGAATTCGCGCAATTCTTATGAGAGCAGGGCAATCGTGAAGGCGCTATGATTCAGACGGACACGGTCTGCCAGTAGGCAGTGGTGTTGCTATGTGTAATCCCACTAGAGTACTTCAAGCATCAGCGTTGTGTGGTATGTCAAGCGGCTTAGTTGCCCTTGTACTGGGCTGCTGTTTGGAGCAACGTGAATGTTGGACACGCGCGGTGCCATGGGCAGCAGTGGTAGACTTTGCTGGGGCTATTCGGCCTTGTTGCAGTACATATCCTTCAGCCCCTTGAGCTCCTCAATAAGGGTCTTGTTCTGTTTCTCAAGGACGGTGACGCGATTTTCCAGGCACTTCACGTACTCCTTCTTCTTCCTCCGACACTCCCGAGCTGCCTCCCTGCGTCAAACACACACAAAGAGAAAGACCCTCCGTTTAGCCTTAACAGATTGTTGAGGCAAGTGCTGTTAATTAGCACCTATGAAGACTGGCACGGCACACCAGTGGATGGGTGGCCAGAACCACGCCCGAACACCGTCGTATAGCCTGTAGCAGGCTGTTGGGGCAAGTACTGTTAAGGAACACCTATAAAGGCTGGAATGGCACTCGAGGAGGTGGGTGGTCAACACCACACCCAGCCGACTTTGTCTCCATAGTGCCGATGTTTACACACCACACCAGGGACTCATGTGAGGCTGAGTCGACCTAGGGGAGGCCCAAAACCGGTTCAGATAATCGTCACTGGTGTTGACCCTGAGCAGGAATGGAACCCGGGTCGCTGGGTTCGTGATGCAGCACGCTAAACGCTATGCCATAGCACCCCACAAAACACGCACAAGCGATATCACACACACGTGCAATGAAGTTCAAATGTGACTCTGCCAGCCACTCAGTATCGGTGCATCTTCTTGAATCTCAATCCAAACTGAAGCTTGGGAGAGTCACGTACTGTGCTGTATGATCTCCGTTAGTTTGTTTATAAACTGAATGGTGCTACGAGGTGGATACGAGATGGCGGTACAGCGAACACGTTTTCTTCTCATACCCTGTATTCCCTAGGTGTGGCATTTGTCTTGCTACTCTAGTTTCCTGACACATTCAAAACATTCCATGAAATATCTTCTTTGGTTCTTTCGGTAAAGTCACGTAGAATGAGAATAAAATAATAAATTGATAAAATAAAATAACACATTAAAATTCTCACGACGTTTCGGCCACAACACAAGTGGCCTTCATCAGGTGAAGGGACGAGACTGTCTGGAGGACAGCGCTGGAGCAAAAAACCCACGCTCAGATCGTGACCTTTAAGCTGTGTCAGAAGAAACAAAGCGCCTTGACAAAGGAATTAGCATAGAATTTAGCATTGAAATAGCTGAGTGATTAGCTTGTGACTGGTCACAGAAATGGTTATGTTAAAGTTAAAGCATACACATCCACAGAGGCAACCCTTGACAAAGGAATTAGCATAGAATTTAGCATTAAAATAGCTGAGTGATTAGCTTGTGACTGGTCACAGAAATAGCTATGTTAAAGTAAGAGCATACACATTCACAGAGGCACCTAGTACAAATCAAACATGAGAATTTAGCATTGAAATAACTAGGAGAATTTAGCATTGAAATAACTCGGAACAGAGGAGGGGGAGAGAGACAGCTGCGTGGCGCTATTATACTCCATGTTGTAAACCATACCATTAACCGTGGTGTGAGAGGTGTTAAGAGTCAATGCCAGCGAAAGAGCTGCGGTCTGAAGGTAATCGTAAAATACAATTAATTAAGAACGGAAATGGTTTAAAACATCTTTCCAATGGTTACTAAGCCAGAATCCATCTTCTCGGTTGAAATTGTCTCTGTGCTTGTATATGTGAATGGCCTCATGAACGAATCTCTCATGGTAGCCGGTTGGTTTGCAAAGAACCTCCGTCTTGGAGAAGTCAATGTCATGTGAGCCCACTGAATTATAACAATGATCTGCCACGGCAGAGGAGTTCGTTCTACCGTGTTTCAAGTCTGCTTCATGTTCGCGGATGCGGTCCGAGATATGTCGTTTGGTTTCTCCAATGTAGCTACTACCACAGAGCCACTCAAAACCATCACCTTACCCTACATTGCAGGGGTCACTAAAAAGATCTCCAAAATCCTGAATAAACACAAGATCCAGGTCCGATTCAACACAGTACATAAAATCCGTGATCTAGTTCCATCTGTAAAAGATGCAGTTCCAGACATACAGTACCCGGGCGTTTACAAACTAAAGTGCCTCTGTGATAGTAGCTACATTGGAGAAACCAAACGACATATCTCGGACCGCATCCGCGAACATAAAGCAGACTTGAAACACGGTAGAACGAACTCCTCTGCCGTGGCAGATCACTGTTATAATTCAGTGGGCTCACATGACATTGACTTCTCCAAGACGGAGGTTCTTTGCAAACCAACTGGTTACCATGAGAGATTCGTTCATGAGGCCATTCACATATACAAGCACGGAGACAATTTCAACCGAGAAGATGTATTCTGGCTTAGTAACCATTGGAAAGATGTTTTAAACCATTTCCGTTCTTAATTCATTGTATTTTACGATTACCTTCAGACCGCAGCTCTTTCGCTGGCATTGACTCTTAATACCTCTCACACCACGGTTAATGGTATGGTTTACAACATGGAGTATAACAGCGCCTCGCAGCTGTCTCTCTCCCCCTCCTTTGTTCCGAGTTATTTCAATGCTAAATTCTCCTAGTTATTTCAATGCTAAATTCTCATGTTTGATTTGTACTAGGTGCCTCTGTGAATGTGTATGCTCTGACTTTAACATAGCTATTTCTGTGACCAGTCACAAGCTAATCACTCAGCTATTTCAATGCTAAATTCTATGCCAATTCCTTTGTCAAGGCGCTTTGTTTCTTCTGACACAGCTTAAAGGTCGCGATCTGAGCGTGGCTTTTTCGCTCCAGCGCTGTCCTCCAGACAGTCTCGTCCCTTCACCTGATGGAGGCCGCTTGTGTTGTGGCCGAAACGTCGTGAGAATTTGTGTTATTTTATTTTATCAATTTATTATTTTATTCTCATTCTACGTGACTTTACCGAAAGAACCAAAGAAGATGAATCCTTGCAGTCACGAAAGCTTTAAATCGAAATTCCATGAAATAGTTATTTGGCCAAATTTCTCAATTCACAAGATCTTGATAAAAAAAAAAGGCTCAGTGGTATACATGGACATTTGATGGACATAATGGAACGCATGTATTTTTTGCTGAAATAATTACATAATTACGCAAAGAACCTTAATTGTGGGTATGAAAATATCAGAGTTTTGCAATAATAAACGTACAAGGCCTCAACAGTCCCGCAGACAAAAACATGGGATGTCATGGGCAAAGGGGAGGAAATAGAAATCCCACATATAAACTGTTAAATAACTACATTATCTGTACTCAGTGGGTCCCATTTCACATGGCATCGAGGACTTCCAGAGGATGAGAATATTTTAACTAAATAATAGCCACAAGTGATTAAAGGCCAGCATTCCAGTGCTCTCCGTAAACTCTTCTCCTTGCTCATGTTCAGATCTCTCGAGTACAGCAGCACTTCAAAGGCAATATCAGCCAGTGGGTGGTGACTATGCACGCCTGTGATCCAACACTGTGCAGGCGAGGATTCGTGGATCACACAAATGTTGTGAAACTCCCATCAGCGTCGAGGTGTCATACCCGTGCTTGCCAGAAGGCGGCAGAGCAAATGTGGACCCCCATCTGCTCTATTGGTATGGGATAGAGTGTTGCCCCTTCGCACGAGCATTTTTTCTCTGGGTACTCAGGCTTACGCCCACTGTAAGCTAACATTCATTGGCTAATAACGGCTTACTATACAGAGGACGACAGAGCTTGGGGAGGAATTTGGTGCCAGCTCACTGACTGGTTGCCTTTCCCACTCGTCTGTGGTTCCTCACGCCACTGGGTTGTTCTCCCTCTTCAAGAGTGTCACATTTTGACGTGAAATTAATATAGCTTATGCCTGCATTTGTCCTGCTATCATATAGCTTATTGTGTTTCCTTTGTAGCGTATAGAATTTTCCGATGATAAAAAGGTTAAGAGATTTTCCTTGTATCTAACACCAGGGGGCAGTCAGCCTCCAGTGTTCGCCAAGACCAGCGAGCAGAGATTGCTTCTCACCCAGGATACAAAGTACGGTTGTTAAAAGTTCCTCTTTCGCATTAACCGGTAACCAGCAAATGAAAAAATAAACTGGTAATAAAAAAAAAGTGACCGGTTTGGGAATATCTGAGCAATAAAAAAAATTATATGTTCTCCTTTTAATTGAGAATCCAAGGACGTTGCCATGTATTTTTTCTACGCTGACATTCTAAAAGCCAGAGCTTCTCCAAGCTCAAGTGAGTGTTAGGTGGTGCTCATCTCTATATTTGGTGGCCATTACCAACCACTGTCATGCAAAATTAAACACCCAAGTGTGGTGTAGTACAGACTGCAGATGGTGTGCAGAATCAACTGAATATAATGGACTGTACGCATTCAGGACAGTCTCTGAGTCTTGAGACATTTTCAGGAGGGTCGTGCATTGCGATGTTTGGCCAATTCCTTTCTAATGAGCATTTTCTTTTATGTGGAAAAAATAACTGGAGCACCCAGAGAAAAGCCACCCAATAATGAGGACTCAACCCACTTGCTCTGCTGCCACTGGCCATATTCTGGCCACGCCACGGCTCAATGTATTTGGGAGTTTCACAAATCTCCACGTGATCCACCAACACTTATAACTTCACAGGGCTGGATCAGAAGCGTGCATCACAACACCTGGCGTGACCAAATGGGAAATCAACAATGGCTTTCTCGCATGTGTATCACAATATTTATTCAGACTGGAGGAATCCGATGAGGTATGGAAGCTCTTTTTTCAGATGACTAGTATAACTTAACGAGTGATAGGAATTCCATAATGCTGTGGTTTATGCTTGGGGTGGAGTTTTTTTTCTTTTCTCAATGCTTACATTCAGTATGCAGCTCATTGCGGATGCTGCCCCAGTGGAATGGTTATCACACTCGACTTGCAAACCAACGGTCGCTGGTCCGTTCTCGTGATACTGCGGTGGAAACATTGGTGCAAGTTTTCTTAAATCCCCCCCCACCACTATCCACCCACCAATGGAAAGCTCTTCTTTCCGATATTGGGAAGCCACCGGAGCGATGAACTTTTAAATTATCTATATTAAAAACTAAATTATTTAAAACTGCTTGTGTTTAGTTTATTGTCCTTCCCCCTTACTTCCGATTAGCACGGTTGGCTACGTACAGTGCGAAAGAAGTTCAACATATTCTTGGTTCTTTCGGTAAAGTCACGTAGAAGGGAAACAATAAAATAATAAAAATATAAAACAATAAAATTCTCACGACGTTTCAACTGCAACACAATCAATCATCATCAGGTGTGAAAACCACAGCAAGAATTTTTTTTTATTTTCTTGCTGTGGTTTTCACACCTGATGACGATTGCTTGTGTTGCAGTCGAAACGTCGTGATAATTTTGTTTTATATTTTATTGTTTCCCTTCTACGTGACTTTACCGAAATAACCAAGAATATGAATCCCTGCAGTCACGAAAGTTTTAAATCAAAATTTAAGTTCAACATACATACACCCAGCCGTATAAATGTGTACACCGCAGTTAATCAATTGGTAGAACGCATGCAGTGGTGTAAAGCGTGGGCACTTCCACCTCTTCCAAGACGTCTGGCTAGCATGGAAGAGTAGGCGATGGTTCCCTCGAGTAGAGGCCCTTTGGCAAGCAGTCACATGAGCAAGGAATTTCAGGGGCTGCACCTCTATATCTACAGTCGTGTATTTGTTGTGTGTAATAGTATTTTGATATTGGAGGAGTTTGTCTCCAAGGATACTGCACCTGTGAGATGATGGAAGCAGTCAAACTTCATGTTTACATTGCAATGAAAATCGACGACGTGGTTAAAACAGACGGAGCCAGTTAAAGTAGTTTGTCTTTAAAACACGGTTAAATAAAACTGTAAATGAACAGATTGTGCTCATTAGTATCCGCCTCACTGAATTAATGCTAATTGAATTTGATAGTCTCCAGAGGCTGAGAATTCCAGTTGCAAAGAACAAAGGCGTCGAGACAATAAGATTATGGAGTGAAATGTAAAGTTGCCCTGCTTTCAAATACACAGCGCTGTAGCAATTTCTACATCTGGTGAGGCGCAGTTAAAGAGGCTATATTGCCTGGAGTAGCAAGCCGAGTTACACGCAATCAGAGGATGTGATGCTGCAAATAGAGCTGGGATCTGAGTAACACACTAAACGATGACTCTGCCAATTATATATGCAATTAAATTTAATATAAGGAAAACACGAAAATACTGCGGCCGGGAAAAAAAGCCTCGTGTTTAAAGCACTGTGAGCTGCTCCATGTTAAATGCGTGAGAATGAGTCGTACCACAACCTGAGAATGAGATGCAAATTGAATGTGCGAGACCCGAGACGTCTGCATTTCCTTTGTCATTAACACTAGCTGATAAGAAATATATGAAGCAGGTTGCATGTGTTTTGTAAGCTCTTCCAGGCCACTTGCTCCGCTTGTGGCAGGCTGTCAACAAACTCACGATTATTTCCGTTCTGCTAAATTCCTGGAGTGTATAAACTCTCCTTGATGTGCATTATCTCCGGGATAAATAAAGATTCTGATTCTATCAAAGTCTCTAAATCTCAAGACCCTTTTTCAAGAGGATCTTGCATTCATATGTTTAGCCAACTCTTTATGGTATATCATGGGACCTCCTTTTCCAGTACCAAAATATGATAATAGGTTTTTCCACTTTTTTCTGGCAACAAAACAGGTGTTAAGATGTTAAACACCAAACTGAAACCTTTTATAAAGAATCATGTCTGCATTAACCACAACGCTTGTGGTCAGAATGCAAACAAAAAAACACTGATAATATATGCATTGTCCTTGAAACTGATTGGTCCATACCAGAGACAGCTTTCTTTTGAGCCTCGTCTCGTTTTGTTGCCAGAAAAAAGGGGAAAAACCTATTATCATATTTTGGTACGGCAAAGGAGGTCCCATGATGTAGATGATCAGCCCGCGCTCTCATTACTCTGATAGTGCATTGTCTTTGAGCTGTACGCCTTTTGGCGTCTTCTGGTCGAACACCGTTTGAGACGAGGCTAAAAAGAAAGCTGTCTCTGGTGTGGACCAATCAGTTTCAAGGACAATGCATTTATATTATCAGAGTATTTTTTTTGTTTGCATTCTGACCACAAGCATTGTGGCTAATGCAGACATGATTCCTTGTAAAATGTTTAAGTTTGGTGTTTTAACATGTTAACACCTGTTTTGTTGCCAGAAAAAAGGGGAAAACCCTATTATTATCGTTATAGTATACTTGTAACATGGATAAGGAAACCACTGTACCTGCAGAAAACCTACACGCACGAGAAAACAACTATTTTTGAACTGTATATAGGACCTCAACAACCTATTTGCTGCGCAAATAACTGATACTTATTTTACACTGGCACATCCGATCTGAGCCAGCGCGGTGATCTCACGGTATGGGTGGTTTGCCACTGGCCATTTGCGTTGCCAAGTCGGAACCAAACTGCATGAGCAAGGAGAAGAGTGTGGAGAGCAATGGAATGTTAACATTTAATCACTTGTGGCTATTATTCAGTGAAAATATTCTAATCCCGTGGAAATCCTCAATTCCATATGAAATGGGGCACACGAAGGATGAATAACATAGCGATTTTAACAGTTGTGGTTCGGGGCCAAGCAGGGCACAGGGTGGAGCTCATGATACATTCATTGCAAGTGACGTCAGTCGATGCACTGTGATGACACGGTGTCACACTGCATTAACTACGTGCGTCTCAACTCATTCGGTGCGCGTGTGACATCAATGGCACGGTAACGACTTAAGAAGCGGAAAAAACATTCCGGCGCCTCCCAAGCCTTGCCGAGTTGGCCCAACAGAGCCTCAGCGCGGCCTGGTTGTGCAACCGAAACGAGGGATCGGGGCCACCTCGTAGACCCTGCCGGCGCCTACCAAACAGCAATGCCTGCACGGCTCACCAGCCAGAGGTGCGTTACAAGCGTGCAACAAATTCCACTACGTACCTGTTCTTGAGGAGCCGGATCTCTCGCTTGCGGGTCACCTCCTCCCCGATGTACATGCTGCCCTGTAGGCCCGAGGGGGAGGCCACGGTGGCCATGATCACCCCCTGCTGTCCGCTCGAGCCGACCGTGCAGATCTGGTAGGTCTGCATGTCGCTGGGAGCCGCTGCAAAACAAAGATCCCCCGTATAGCCTTAACGAACTGTAGGAGCAAGTGCTGTTAGCGAGCACCTAAGAAGGCCGGCACGGTACACGAGGGGGTGGGTGGCCAGCACCACACCCGGCCGCTTTTGTCTCCCGAGTGGCGACGTTTATGCACCAAACCAGGTACTCATTGAGGCTGAGTCGACCTAGTGAGGCCCAGGACTGGTTCAAATAATCATCACTGGTGTTGGCCCTGAGCAGGAATCGAACAAGGGTTGCCAGGTTCACAGCGTAATGCGCTAACCACGACGCCACCGCTCCTCACGTACACACACGGGAAACGTTTCTCTCAAATCACAACCGCCCAAACGTGGCAATGTTGGGCTAACGTTGGCATGTGGTTGGAACCGCTGGGCCAACGTTGGGCCTGCGATCCATGTTTACTCGTAAAACAGGAGATCCCAGTGACCATATTTTGGGTGTCATAAGCAGCCATGCAGTGTGGGGACACAAACTTTAAACAAACGCGAAACTGAATGAGTGCGTATGAGGACCGGAAGATACCTACGTGACTTTACTGAAAGAACCAAAGAGTATGGAAGATAACATTTTAGCAGCGGGGGGCTGAGCTATCAGCCGGGGGGCTTAGCACCCCCCCCCCCTTCCAACCTCCCTTGATGTGTGAGCAGCAGGACATTAAGTGAAATTCAATGGAAACCACTTGATAGCGTTACGATCAAAGGACGAGTGCAATACATGGGTTTTGTCTTTTGACAGCATTTCCAACCTTCATATGTGGACGAAAAACATAGGAAACCTCCTTCCATCTTGTCTCGCGGGTGACCGCGAGAGGGCACCGGTGGGATGGTGTTTGGCGGTATCGGGCTACAGACGTCACGCAATTCTGACAATCGACGGCACGAACGTTATCTTAATTTCAGCAGCGAAAACATGCTTCCCCCCCCCTCTCTTTCCTCCTTCCCCTCTTGGTTTATTATTGTCTTGCCCGAGGCAAGACTCCCTCGCGTGAAAATAGGCCCTCGCTTTGAGCCCATTGACCCCGGTGTGAGCAATGCCAACGTGCTGAATAATGCCTGCATGTGCTGTGTACAGTACTTGTATTTTTAGCTCTAGATTCCACTTGGCGTGGTCTCATTGCCTTTGTGTTTTGTCCTTGTGGGTGCCTGCATCTGTTCATATTTTCAGCGAGTACAGTATCCCACGAATTTAATCATACGCGGTAGGATTGCAGCCCACGAAAATACAGCACTGTGCAGGGTGGTTCAAATGTTTTGTAGCCCCCATTTAATTCTCGAAAACTTTACATTTGATAAAAGTTTTAATAAAAAAAAATGAATATGTAAATTAACAAAAAATTAGGAGTCCATTAATCGGAGGCCACAAGGCAGCTGGACCACGTATCTATAGTAAATGCAATCATAATTGTCCGTGATGAATGGCGACTATTGTAGAGGCCTTAATTCAGCAGTGGATGGATTATATAGGTGTTTTAATGTGTCGTATTGACGGGGCTCAATTTCTCCAGTCGACATTCTTTCCGACACGCCTTTGCTCAGTCTGCTTTTCGAACACGTGGGACGCCAGTGAACATGGACTTGCGGGGTGACCGATTTCATTTTTGGGATTTCTACATTTCCTTTTGGGCCACTGCACAAAGCTCCAAATTAATTAGTTAATTGTTTTACCATTACACAGCCGAATACTAATTTTGTTGTTGTGCAGTATCCGTAAAATCGCACGTGCTTTCAACCAACGTTTGAACTCTGTGCACTCATGCATCGAACACTAAAGTTGCGGACCAATTTTAGTGAGCACGAACTACAGTACTGTAAGCATTTAAGGCATTATTGATGTGAAACTCACTGTACCCATAATACCGTACGCGCTCAAACAAATGCTGTGGAGTTAACGCAAATAAACGTGCGGCCAGGCCTGTTAAGGGGAAATACCGAAACGTGCACTGTACACGTGCGTGCAATAACAAGTCGATGTTCGTACAGTGTACGCTGTATTTTAACACAGTTGCTGGGCAAAGGCACAAAACGCAAAGCGGTCATCAACAACAAGCGGCACAGATCAAACAAACCCTTGTCACATATTCAAGTCCTGCATTGAAGCAAATGTTGCGAAAAGGCAACGGGAGGGAATGCCAAAAGTCCTAACAGTGCGAGTAAAGAAACGCGGAGTGCTTGTGACCTGCGGTGTTGAAATAAAATCGAAGGGTCTAAAGTTTCGTTCCCCGTGAGGGTAGTTTAGTCATCTTCTTTGGTTCTTTCGGTAAAGTCACGTAGAAATGAGAATAAAATAATAAAATAAAGACAATACAATCCTCACGACGTTTCGGCCACAGCGCAAGTGGCCTTCTTCAGGTGAAAGAACAGAACTGTCGGGACGACAAGAGCTTCAATTAACGCTGCTGAGATTGAAGCTCTTGTCGTTCCGACAGTTCTGTTCTTTCACCTGAAGAAGGCTACTTGTGTTGTGGCCGAAACGTCGTGAGAATTTTATTGTCTTATTTAATTTAATTATTTTATTAACATTCTACGTGACTTTACCGAAAGAACCAAAGAAGATGAATCCTTGCAGTCACGAACGCTTTTACTGGTAGGAACGAAGTTGTAAACTGAGTGTACCAGCCTGCAATAGATTAATGTGTCCGTCCGTCCCCTTTCAATACTTTAACGAAGTGAAGTCTCGTGCTGTTGGGGTGTAAAATCAGCAATAGACAGCGCAGAGACTTGATATGTCTTATTGCACCCAACATTTGGAAGTCGCGTAACAGGAATGCGTAACAATGTCATAAAATTGCGCAGAATTCCAATGTTCCTACCAGCCCACCCTGCAGGGACCTGTAACTAGAAGTTTAGTCGTTTTAATTGTTCCCCGTGTGAGACTGAAACCGGCGAATCCCAAAGAGACACACACACACACGAGGGGGACAACTTGAAAGCACCACACAGAGACATGATTCCAACCCCCTTTTGCTACAGACTTGGCTCAGCCCTTCGGCGGGGGGCGCTCCGCGCCGATCGAATCATTTAAACCAGCAGTCACCATCCCTCTCGCCTCCCAAACACACAGCGTTTAAAGTGGCGTGGGCGGGTAGTTGATATTACATCAGAGAGCAGAAAGCCACACAGTTGGGGGGGGTGGGGGTGGAGATCCCCCAAATACGACGCGGTCCAGTTCCGTGACGCATGGCCACGCCGAGTTTTCCGTCGCTCCCCCCCTTGTCCCCCCCCCTCGCCCCCCCCTCTCGCCCCCCCCTCTCGCCCCCCCCCCTCTCGCCCCCCCCCCTCTCGCCCCCCCCTCTCGCCCCCCCCCCGCAACACCCGCCATTAAAGTGACGTCACCGCGGCGCCTGTGCCAGGCCAGGTGCACTTTGAGTGCCACGTGAAGCGTCGAAGGCTTGCAAGGTTTCTGGGGAGCCAGACCCAGTGGTGTGCCATGGGGTTGGCTTACTGGGATGGCCGATGTTATATAGGTGCGGTCACCCAGCCGACCCCAAACCCACAGAACCTCCCCGCCCCCCACGCACGTGGCGGCCGACGTCACCCGCAAATGACGCACGCGGTGGTGCGTGCTGACGTCACCACGCAAGCACAATCGATTACCTTGTTTTGTGTTCATTATTGCATAACATTACGTTTTTAGGTGTTGTGTACACGTGTTTTTTTTTCCTGCGTTTTAAATGTGTTCACTATGTGGAAAATTGTCATTTAATAAACACGCACATACACGTCAAATAAATATCCTGTATTTTAAAAGTTACTGTATTTACTGTACCGTACTTCCGAGGTGGTGACTGATGCATGAGGTGATGTCCGCACTACGCTCTCGTTTAAACAACCCCGATGTGTATGTGGTGTATAATGCACCGTATTTAATACATTTTGACACTGAAATCGAGCATAGCTACTGTTTCGTTATCGTCACGGACGTGGTGCCGATCGCCGGTCTTGTGTACAGCCTTTTGGAGCGGTTTTGCCGCTTTCGTCGGATTGGCCTGGGACCGCCGGATATTATTGGAATGAGCCGGATAATCGATGATCAACTGTAGTGTATCTCATACTGGAGGAATTCGATGAGCTATAAAGCTATATTATTATCTCCCCATGTCCAGTAGGGGCGGGTGAGAAGGTTGCAACAGCAAACAATACAAAAAACGCGACAGGAAGTTTAGAATATATAATGGAATCACTTAAACAAATAAAATAAAAATTCCATCTTACCAGGTCAAGCTTTCGCTTATTTTTTCAGAAGCGACCTGGCCACCACAACTGATTGTTCAACGAAGTGGTGACGTCACCACGCACGCACGCTTTACGTGGGGTGATTAGCCGGTGCGCGTGCTGACGTCACCACGCACGCTTTACGTGTGGGGGTGCCAACGTCACCACGCACGCTTACGTGTGGGGTGATAAGCGGGTGCCCGTGCTGACGTCACCACCCACGCTTCACGCGCCGGGGTGATAAGCGGGTGCGCGTGCTGACGTCACGACGCACCTACGCTTCACGCGCCGGGGTGATAAGCGGGTGTGCGTGCCGACGTCACCACGCACCCACGCTTCACGCACTGCCGTGATAAGCGGGTGTGCGTGCAGACGTCATCACGCTTCACGCGCCCGGGGAGAAGCGAGAGTGCGTGCTGACGTCACCACGCAGGCTCGTGGTTGGTGGTGGTAGTGGGGAGAAAGTTGGCAGAGAATGGAGCACAGGGTGGTGGTGATGGGGGTGGTGGTGGTGCATCTAGATGCCAGTCATCTCACTCAGTCAACCCATGGCGCCTGGGTCTGTTCCGTGACCTCATCCTGGCTAGCGAGCCATTGTTGAGCTATCATTTGTAGCCAGCTCGCTTATGAAAAATGATCTAATAGCACAGTGGGCTTTACCTGGCAAAATAAAGAAAATAGTTACTTTTTTGTTTGTATATAAGTTATTCGTTCACCTTTCCTATACTTTGCACTCCTATCGTGTTCTTGTATTGTTTGTTGTAACGTTCTGACCCCGTGTCCCTGCGGGTCATCTGTGAAAAAGCGCTTCATAGCCCATCGGATTCCTCCAGTGTCAATACATATTCTGAATCCCGACACTTCACGTGGCCTCAGTGCACCTAGCCTGGCACAGGCGTCGTGTTGATGTCGTCACAACCGCTTAGTGGTGAATGGCGGTTGTTGTTATAGCAGCGGATCGGTTATCTCGCTGGGCATCCCTTAGGTCGACTCAGCCTCAAATGGATACCTGGTGCGATGTGCAAACATCAACACTGGTGGGGAGATGAAAGTGGCGGCCGGGCGTGGCGTCGGCCACCCGCCCGTCAACCTCGTTGTGTCCTGACAGCCTTCATAGGTGCTCGCTAACGCCGCTTGCCCCAACAGCCTGGCCAGCGTCTCAATAATGGGTGATCTTTGTCTTTGCGCTGACGTGATCGTGACACCGTCGCTTCCCAGAGCAATGTTTCCACTACGCTGCTGATTGGAGGAGCGATATTGAGCGATTATTGCCCACCATTGCCTGTGGAGTGAATGGTGTTGGAGTCATTGACCGCCGTGGAGAGCCCTTCGCCATCCAGCAGTGGATGGGCAGTCAGGATCTGCACCATGTACTCTTCACGCACATGTACTGTATGTACAGGCAAACTGAGACCATTACGAATCCTAAGCCCTAATCACGGCACGCTTTTGTCAAACGAGTTGAAGAGTTTGCGTGTTGCCAATATAGACCCGGTACCTGGGTTAGAATTCCCAGCCACGGCTAAAGCGAGATCTGAAACCCGTCCTGCACCCATCTCTCCCATCCCCTCGTTTCTGGGCATCTGTAAAACAAAGAGCTTTATAGCTCATCGGATTCCTCAAGTATAAATACAGTTTCTGATTATGTTCC